AAATGTTATGGTGTTGGTGATTGGTGTGAAATTTTGAAAAGATCAAGCAAACTTGGAAAAATATAAATGCCTTTTTAATCTAGATGATAGACGTAATGGGTTAATTATATTATTCTCAGTGTTCTGTAAGTGAAAGTTTTCACGATAAAAATTCGGGACCACTGATCCCACTCGCCATTTTACAAATGGCCACATGGGGGCAGTAGAGTATCAGGCTGGATGTGGGCCCGACAGGAGAGCAATTCCCCGGTTCATTATTCATCTATTTCATCTCACCGTCACCGTTGGTGAGCACCAGCTCACGGAGCTGCCTCTTGTGTGAGCTGACCTCTTTTACACGCATTTAGGTTTACTTAATTAGCAACCGTGTGATCTTGGGAAAGTTTCTTTACCTCTCTGAACCTCATGGAGCAAACAATAGTTCATACCTAACAGCTTTTCTATTTATAAAGAATGAGTCGATATTGCTTAGAATGGTGCCTGGCACGGAGTTAAGTACATGATAGGAACATATTTATATATCCATATGTTCCCAGTTGGAGCTCTGAGATAGAAGCAGGCAGTCAGCTTCTCTGATTTACATGAAGGCCCTAAGTCTGCTGGGCAAAATGACGAATGTGATCTTGGGACTAAGGTCCTGGAATTAAGACTCTCCAGAAAGCAAGATCATAATTATAGAAGCTACATTTATTGAGGTTTTCTCCATGCCAGACATTATCCAAGCACTTTACATGTACTAACTTTCTTAATCTTACAGGAAGGAGACAGGTTCTGTTGCAGACCCTGCTTTAGAGGTGAGGAAATGGAGGGGTAGAGCTGTTAAAGAACTTTTCTGAGATTTCTCACTGGTAAGGAGGCTGGCAGTCTGGTCTTGGGAGTCCGTATTCCTATCAGTGAGTCCTAGTCATTCCCACTGTACTCCCCTTTGAGTGCTGCGGCGAGGCTAAGCCTTCTTGTAGAGAGAGGGGTGTCACCCTGCTGTTGGCAGGAATCTTTGGGCCTATGGAAGGGGCAGCAAGAAGGTCCTAGATCATTCTCTTAATGCATTTCTCAAAAGTATCTCCTGGACTGTGGAGCTGTTGATATGCTCCTGGGGCTTGAATACCCAACACCATTTTTCTGACAATAGAACGCATCTCTTGTTCTTGGAAACCACTCTTAACAGGGGGCCAGGCAAGGCTGACCTCAACTGTATCTCAAAAATGAGCAAGTGACCAGACTGGTTCTTGACAGTTAATACCCACCCTCTATTCAGTGATTGCCTCATGGTCAGCTTGGGACTCAAGCTGAACCAATCAGAGAAAATGCTGGGACTTTCACTCATCTATTGGGAAAGAGATATGCTTTCTCTGCTGGTGTAGCTAAATGCTAGAATGTAAGCCTGAAATTGCTTTGGGCCCTGTCATCACTTGGAGTCATCCTGAGAATGATAGACAACGTATGTGAAGGAGAGCAGAGCTGAGAGGTGGGGAAACAGAAGCTTGTTGACATGTTTTGGATCGCCTGGATCCAGTCCTGCCTGAATCCCATCTTACTGTTCATTCAGATGGGACAAAAATTATTCCTTTTCATTTAAGTCAGACTGAGTTGGGTTTTCAAGTACTAACTGAATGCATTGCTCAACAGCATGATGTAAAGCAGAAAGAGCCAAGCTATTTATCAAGGCATCAAAGACCTATAAGCACTGGTCTAGGTTTACTTAAAAGAATGGCCATATGAAAAAGGAAAATCTTGTTTCATAGATGACAGAATTCTGTAAGTTGCCTGTAAAGAAGGTTTGCAGGTCTGCTCCATATGCAGGCCATTGATCTCCATCTGGGGAAGAGCCCAAATAAGCTCCTTGGCAAGCAGGATGAGGGTGGTGTGTGGGTGGCTGGCTGGAGAAAGGGAGCAGAGATGGGGGTACAGAAAAAAAATTGGGTGCGGTGCTCAAGGCTCATAAATAATAACAATAATAATAAAAATAAAATTTCTCCTCTTTCATCAGACCTCAGGTGAAAACAATTATACTCTGGGGCTCATGACACTACATCATGGACCATAATAAACCACTTAAATTCATGGCCTCCATCATTAAAAAGTAGTTGATCTAGAAGCCAAAAATAATTTTTTAACAACGATAAATAGGATTGAGTAATACTGCCTTCCAAGGGCATCTTATTTCTCTTGGAACAAAACTGTCAGTATGGCTCAAAGGACGCCGGATATGCCCTCCTCCTTGCCAGCCTGTTCTCGCAGCTCTCCCTACTGTAGCTCCAGTCGCTCTGGCCTTTCTTTCTCCCTCAGGGCATGTGCCCCGGATGTTTGCCCACCTGGTCCCCTCTGCAGTCTCACCCTCACCCCTTCACATGGGGGACCCTTCTCAGGCTTCAGTTCCCAGTTAAACCCCTCCTCCTCCGAGGGGCCATGCCAACCTCCCAGTCTAAAGCAGGACCCCAGATCTTTCCTCCCCACCGGCTCAGTGTTATCTGATTTGTTGTCATTGTTTGATACCCAGCATTTGGCCATAAACTCTACAGGGATCTTGGTCAGCTTTGTTCAACAGCTGCAAGCAAATCCAGGACCCAGCTCTAGGCTCGGCACACAGTAAGTGCTCAAGAACGATTTGTTAAGTGAGTGAAAGACGGCCTATGGTGTGATGTGATTTTGTTTAATTACCAAGGCCTCGTCCTCGCTCAGAAACGGCATGTGCCCCATAATCGTGAGTGGATATTCTTTTCATTCCTATTTCCTGAGCATTTTCCAGGTGGCTAGGCACCTTATTACCATCTGGAGTTAGTGTGGACAGAGTCAAAACCCCAGATTTTCCGGAGCTTGCACTCTGTTCTGGGGGAGAGAGGCCATACATAAGGAAACAAAATAAATTTCAACGATGAGAAATGCAAGGAGGAAAATAAAACCTGACAGTGACCAGGCAGGGGCCGCTTTAAACAAAGTGGTCAGAAGAGGCCACTTGGAGGCAATGACATTTGAACAGAGACTCTCAAGGAGAAGAAGGCAGCAGGAAAGGAGGCCGGGAAAACGCGGTGCAGGGGGAGGACTACGGGAGGACAGAGGCCCCGGAGTCAGAGGCCCTCGGCGGTTCCCAGAGAGGGAAGCTCAGGGGAGAAGGACTAGGATTTGTGCGGTGGGCAGGGGCCGGCCTGTGGGCCTTGTGGGACCGGGGAGGGATTCTGAATTCTTGGCTGGACTTTCTGAGGCAGCCTCGGCGCCGGAGCTCCCCTTGAAGCCCCACCGGGGCGTCTCCCGGACGCCTGGGTCAGGGTGGGGGAAACTGTCAGGGCATTCTTCGAGAGGCTGCCCAGCACCCCCGCCACTGCCCCAGGGCCAGGCGCCAGGCCCCCGGGTTGGGGGTTGGGTCAGACCCGCCCAGACCAATGGACTCTGTGGTTCCCAATCCCGGCTGGGGTTCTGTCCCCTCCCCCAGTCTGGGGGGAATGGTGAGCACCGGGCCCCAGGGTGAGGCTAAGTGAGAACCTCAGCTCCGAGCCCCTAGCAGCATGTTCCATAGCAATTCTCTTAATCTCTGCTGTTTCCTCATCCACAAACTGGGAATAACAACAGTACCTACATTACAAGGGGGTAGGTGGGACTCATGAGTTCGCTTTTATCTGTGAAAGGGCTTAGAAGGCTGCCTGGGACATAGTAAGTGCTCAAAACATGGTGGCATTCTTTCCTCTTGTTCCTTTTGATTGCAAGAAATAAAATCCTGCTGAAGTTACACCACGTAACTGCCCAGCAGTGAACTGCAGTCAAACAGTTAAAATATGCCTTCTGTGCCTCTGTGGGTTAGAGACACTGTCTCTATAGCCTGCTTTCCCCTATTAATCATTGTCATGATCAAGAGTTGATCTCAGAATTCTGGACTGGTCATTTTGTGCAATTAGGCTGGGGGCAGCTTCAGGGTAGGAACTGGGTCTCATCATTTCCCCAGCAGCTAACTTGGGGTAAGATGCATACAAAGGTGTCTCCTACCCCCTTGTTGAATGAATGAGAGGCTCCTGATTTGGAGCTCTCAAGTGAGCACAGTTGCTATGAGCAGGTACACAAATCATGGAATGCACACAAAACAGCCTGTTACAGCATTGGAGCCTGGAATTAGCAAGAGACCACGACTGAGTGTTGAGTGCTTATGAAGGGAACAATGGATTCCCTGAGTTGGGCAGAAGATGTTCTCTTTTGCAAACGGCCTCAGCATGAAGATCTATCAGAAGGTTCATGAGAAAGGAAAGCCCCTGGAGGCTTCCTTGACTGCAGCAGGTAGCAAGTTACCTTAATCATGAGATCCTGTCACCATTTCTGGTGTAATGGACATGCTCTATGACAGGCAGTACAATGGACATGTACACAGCATAGATTTGGAGTCCCATAGACGGGGCTCAAATTCTGGCTCCTTCACTTCCTAGGCTAACCTTGGGAGACCAACGTAACCTCTCAGAGCCTCAGTTTCTGCATCTGCAGAATAGGATTTAAGAACAGTACTTACCTTCAGTCACTGAGAATTTGATGAGAAAACACATGTCAAGGGCTTAGTCTAGTGCCTGGGACAGAAGTAAATGATCAATAAATACACACACACACACACACACTGCACAGGGTAAAAAAACCCAAGGGCTGCATCACAGGTGAGGACAATGAATGCTGAAATGTTGCCTATGCTGCCACACTGGAAATCAAGATCCTGTGGCCTCCAGCGATTTGTCTTATACTTTTGAAGGCCCTCTTTGCAGAGGGACAGCTCCTTCTCCCACTTGCCTTTGACATTTCCTTTTCCTGCTTCCCCTGTGGGGACCCTGTAATTACCTTCCTTAATTAATTCTACAGTTGGAACTGTCCTCCTTGGAAACTCAGCCTTCACCTTGTTGGACATGAGCTAAAGGAAGTTTCAGGTGTGGTTATTGAGGAAAGGATGCAGTGTGCACCGGATGGCAGGAATGCCTGGTGGGACCTCTCCACCCCCGATATGCCACCTCACCCTTTCAAAAAACCACTGGAGCATATTTGAGAAAAGTTAAGCTGTTTTATTTCACAGGATAGCTCCACATCAAACCAGCAGGCACCATCAGAATACGCAACAGAGGATCCAGTCAGACACTCTATGGGACGGGCGTTTGGTTCTAAGGTAGAAAAACAATATCTGGAAGAGGGCAACACTTATCATCACATGGGACAGGCAACCAGCAGTTTCCTAGGGTGGTTTCAGTTTGTTTTTTCCTGACAGTTTGGGGAGGAGGGAAACCAAAAGAAACAAAAGAGACCAGCCACTCTGAAGCACTCAGAACCAAATCTATTGCCAAACCAAGTAAACAGTCACACTGCCAGGAACTGGAGCCTGAGCAGAATCTCTAGCCAGAATCTACTTCCGCGTAGGGAAGGCAAAGTGCACCCTTGTTCTGGTTCAAGGAACAGCTTTGTTACTTGCCTGGGACAGTTCACACAGAAAGGAGGTGTCGGCAAGGAGCAGAGATGGCCATTCGGCCAGTCCTAGAGGATGGGACAGCGGGACACTGGCAGATCAACCTCGAGAGAGGCCAGGACTCCAACCTGACTTCTCTCAGCTCCCCTTGTGCAGCCTTTGGTATGTGGGGAATTCTCTACAAGGCTGCTCAAAAGAGAGGAGGCCCCAGAGAACCCGGGAAGTTGACATAAAATGTCAGCATCAGCTCTGCATGGCAGAAAATCAGCTAAGCAACACCTCCGCTCACCCCCTTCCCGCCTTTTCCTCCCCGCCTGTCCTCCCAAGCCCAACAGGGTCCCCCACTGTGGTTGTAGGTCAGCCATTCTTCTTTCTGGGATTCTCGGGAGAATGAGGCATTTGCTCTAGTGTGGAACCATCTGGATGTGTGAAAAGTTAAGAATAGAAACACCAAGAGGAAGAACCATTGCATTAGTCCTTGGGATTTTCCATCAGCCATGTATGTGCACTGGTGCCAAGTCACGGCAGGGTCACAGGAAGTCCTCGGCATCCATGCCTCCTCAAGGAGAAAGAAATATACCTGAAAGGCACTCCAGGAGACCCCAATAGCAAAGAAAGCCCCATATAAAGGCCATTCCCCACACCGGCTCCCCTCTGTGCACTACAGACCAGTTCTGAAAGGTTTATAAGGCAGATCTCTGAACTGCTGGTTCCAGCTGGTAGCCAAAGGGTGGATCCATTTTCCTGTGTCTCTTCCTACTCAGATTTCATCCTTTGGGAATCCACTTCTCTCCTGCCCCTTGGCCTGGTGACCTCAGAGAAATGACTCCCAAGTCTAATTTCCAAGCTTAAAATTCCCTCCAATTGTGTGCTCTGTCCGGGGTTCAAAAGGCGCTTCAAGGTGAGAAAATCGTTAGCACTGAAAACAAGGAAAGGCAAGAATTTTTCATAGAATCCCACAGCTCAGAGCAGCTCTTTGAGAGGAAAGGGTAATAAGGGGAGTGAGGGAGAGTTGGGTAGGAAGCACAGCTTGTTCTCAATTTTACCCGAGAAAGGTCTTTAGCGGCAGCTGGGCCCCAGGGCCCAGGAAACTAGACCAGGAATGAATTGTCTTTGGTCAGTTTTAAATGAACATGTTGCCGGTTCATTCCTAAAATAGACTGAATATCATTGGTTACACATAAAGACAAAAGTCTTGACCTCAGGGTAAGTCGAAGGTTTCTGTGAAGCAAAAAATAATAGTAATAATAAAAAATAAAAATGCCCGTTATCAATGAACTGATCAGGACAGCTCTCAGTAATGGTGATGGACAAGTAGGTAAACATCACTTCCCCTTGTACAATAGGTTATATTGAGGATTACTAACTAGGTCACTACATTTCCCCACACTCACTGTACAGTTAGGTTTCTGGTATTTGTTTTTTACATGGATCTATCTACTAGGTGCAAAGATTTGGTGAGTGGTATTGGCTATAATTTAACTGTAGCCTTTTTAAAAATTACAGTTTCACATTTTAACAGTTACTTTCCAGCATTTAAGCAAATACAGCAATACACAGTGGACTAGCACAGGCAGGAGTCAGAAGAGGAAGCCAATGCTCAGGGACTGGATGGGCCTGGGAGCGTGTGGAGGTGGTGGAGACATGCATAGTGTCAGATGAAGACGTTGCCAGTGGGGTGGGGGTAAGAAATATTTTTCCATTTGGTTCTGTGTCAAGGCTCAGCTCTGGGGCTGGATGAATGGAGTGTGAACTTCCCTAAATGTGAATATATCTGCCATTTCCCAGTGGAAACATAGGTGCTTAAAGGAAACAGCCCTGCCTTTAGGTAATCTGGTGAAAGGCAGATCCGTTTTCAGTAAGGAAAAATGAACTTTAGTCAATTCAGAGGGAAATCCGCATGGTCTGACGGGTGTTACGTAGAACAGGCAGGCAACAGATCTATCAACTCAAATTTCTACTTTTTAGCTGGTAGTCAGGGAAGAGAATGTTAAATTTTGTCTGGGCAGCTACTGCATTTAAGGTATGGGAGTACCTTGGGTTGAAACGAGAAGTCTTGTGTCTTGGCTGAACAGTATAGCATCCCTGCATATAAGTGACTTTATGAGCCTGGGACAGACAGCTCTTGGCTATCTATCAAATCTCGGGCAAATCACAGCACATCCCAAGGCCTTGCTTTCTTTCCCAGGCTGTAACTGGGGATGTCTTTGTGTGCTCAGAGGCAGAGGGCTCTTAGCTAGTTCTGAGGCTCTTTCCTTTCCAGGAGCTGAAAGAGAACAGTTCATTACAGGCCAAACAAGGTCAAGGTTGCTGCTGGCCCTTCCCTGGCATTCTCTTGGCGCCCTCTGTTGATTCTTCCTTCCACTGCGTGCCCTCAAGCCCTGTTGTTCAGACAAGGCAGGGCGGCTTACACTCCTACACACCCAGTTATTAGTAACCTAACAGGTCCCTCCCTCAGGGAAGAATTTGCCTTTTTTGGAGGACCGGGGGAGAGGGCAAAGCTTAATCCGATGGGGTGAAATGGTCACGATGGAATTTCAAGCATCAGTAGCTCATCTTTCTGTCGGGCTGGGCTTCAGGGCTTCCATGAAGCTGGCAGGAACATTCCAGTCCACTTCTCAAATGCCATTAAGTTTAAAAAACAAGGTCTTGAATGGTTTTTGATCTAAGAGACTTACCTTACTAATGATAATAAAAAGAGCAATTGTGTTGGCAAAATACTTCCCAGTTTACACAGCTTGCTCATTGACTTTTTATTTTTATCATCTTCATTTTATGGAGCAGGAAACTCAGGCTCAATGAGGTGGAGTAAGTAAGTAGTGGGGGCTGGACTCACAGGACGTTTGACCCAGGGGGACACACTCAGGCCTCAAGAGAGAGAAAACATGAAGCTTAAAAACAATAGGGAGGAAGGCCTTGGCTTGGCATGAGGGGAGTGAGGGAAAGGGGTCCCAATAGAATCTGATTTGCCTATGTTCCATTATCCAGAAACAGCTCATCTCTGGAAAATGAAGAGATCAAAAGAGGAAGTAAAGTGGAACCGAATGACCGTGATCCAGACCTTTTCCCAACCAAAAGGCAGAGAAGCCTGGCTCATAACACTTGAAGATCATACACCCCAGTTCTATCACTGTATTTCCACTTACATCAGATGTTCTAGGGGCGGCAGGGGAAAGGCAAAGGAAGGGAGAGGGGAAAGCATTTTCACTTGCATAAACTCATCTGAAGCATTCCCTAGGGCAGAAAGTGCCAAGGGCTGCCCCTCCTCGGCCCCAGGTCTGAGCTGGGCAATTAGGGCTCATGCGCTTCATGCAAGAGGGCACCAGCCAGAGTGCATCACGGCCTGATTTTAAATTAAAATGATGTGACTCAAAGCCTCCTTGCCTGTTTAGTCCCAAATCTGACACAGTATAATTAGTAGAAAGAGGAAAAGAAATAATTATTTTGAAAATGGTGTAAGTTAAACCTCTATAGTTACCACAGATTTATTCCTACAGCTCTTCTAGATTTTGAAGGGTTCCACACCACTGTTTTGTTTCTTTTTACCCAACCACACACAATAGTGTGCTATGATGGGCTTTAAATTCTCACTATCCCCCTTTTCTACATACAAATACAAGGATGCTGTGGTCAGGAGTCTTCTCACCAACATCCTCCCGTGCCTTCAGAGGTACTATTGGCCCTTGGCCTCTGGATGGAAAGGCAGGGTCTTGGGTAGATGGGGGGCAGGGGGGTTCTGTGAAGGGTTCCCCACCTCTAGGAGCAGCCTGCTTTGGGTACTGCCTGCCCCACCCTTCCTTTAGGGGCAGACTGTTTTGGAAGGCCACGACTTCTGGAGACAGTGGGAGACTTTGTTTTTCTGCAGGTTAGTGGTATATTGCTTCATTCGCAGTTACTGTGGGCCTCTCAATTCTCCCAGAAAAGTCCCTGCAAATCCCACCAAATAACTCAGTGGGAGATGTTTGGTGGCATGGGTCTGAGGTAAATCTAAGTTTCATAAAAACAAAAAGGAGATCCTATATACATTTAGTATGTGTGTCCAGATCTAGTATATGTATATAGATGCATAAATATATATATATATACACACACCTAAGACACATACATACATATATATGTGTATATATGCACACATATCGTACACACATATTTATGTATGCAGAGAATGCAGAGAGTGATTTTCCAGTGACGATGTGCAGGCGAAGCCGTCGGATGTCGGGCCCCGCGCTTAGGAAACGTTCACGCCCGGACAGCGCCTGCCGCGCAGCCCTCGGGCCGTTCGCACGCCCGGTGGGCGGGGCTCCCCGAACGCCGGCGGCTGCGAGCGCCTGCGCGGCTCGGCGCCCAGGCCACCTCCCAGGAGGCCCCGCGGCCACCCGCCCCCGCTGCGGGTCACATGGTGCCCGACCTGTCCGCTGGGCCGCCGAAGCCCTTCTCGGTGGGCGTCACGGCCGGGCTGCCCACGCCCGAGCTGCTGCTGCTGCTGGAGCGGTGCTGCAGCGCCGGCCGCGCGGGCCGCACTGGGGGTGGGCGCAGCTGGGCGCCGGCCAGGCGGGCCGACAGGGCCGGCTTGAAGGTGGTCATCATCTCGGTGGAGGAGCTGCTGCTGCGGCGCATAGCGGCGTCTGGGTCGCGGATGACGATGGTGTGCAGCGGACTGGCGGGCTCCGAGCTGACGGGGCCTGGCGGGTTCTTCAGGGGCTCCAGCGTGTCCAGCACCACGTCCGGAGCCTGCTTGACCGTGTTCTGCCTCTCGAGCTCCCGCAGCTCGTGCAGAGCCGTGCTCATGGTCTTCTCGATGTCCTGGGGAGAGAGAGAGCTCCGCGTCAGCACAGCGCCTAGAGGCCCGAGGTCCCGTCCTTCCTCGGCTGCTAACCAGCTTGTGAGCTTCTTAGGTCTCCCCACCAGCCTCGTGGCCGGGATGGTGTCATATGACCAAGTGCGGGAGTTAGGATGGGCATCGCTTGCACGCTGCCTGCAAAAGGAAGCAGACCTGATGACGCCAGGTTAAACCGCTGGTTGGGAAGGCAGGTGCCTGAGTCAGACAGACATGGGTTCAAATCCTCCCACAGCCACTTCCTTGCTGTGTGACCTCGGGCAAGTTACCTCACCTTTCTGGGCCTCAGAATACTCCTCCGTAAATTACAGATCATTATAACACCAACATCAGGGGCTGATGAGTGTATTAAATATGGTCCCAACGAAGTGCTTGGCATGGTATCTGGCACACAGTAAGCACTCATAATAACAGTGCCAGTAAAAAATATCAACAGCTCACACTGAGCACCAACCCGAGTCCTCTGCACTAATAATTCATTTAATCCTCACACAAGGTAGGAATGACCATTACACTCATTTCACACATGAAATGGAAACTCAAGACTGGTTAACTACCTTACCCAAAGTCATACAGCCAATTAGTAGCCTAGTCCAAGTCTTAATACAGGCAGTCTGTCTCCAAAGCCCAGGCCTCTAACCATTATTATTATTTTAAATCCTTTCCCATAGAAAAATTACTTGGAGGTTAGATATTATAATATGTTTACAATGTTCACCCCAGCACGATGGAACTGTTACTCCCTTCTCTGCACTGTAATAAAAAAAAGTTTGTTTCTTAAAAAATGGGAGTCTTAAAGAGCAACAAAAATCCTCATCTGCCTACATAATTCCTGGGGATGTTGTAATATTTGAGAGCTCATCAGTATGAGAGCACTTTGAATGGCATAACGAGAGGTTATGGCATGTCAGGACATCCCTGCAAGCAACGGGGCTGCCTTGTCAGCCCAGGGCTCTTAATTCCATCTTCCTGAGGCCTCCATTCCCCCTCAAGCCTGGAGGGTTGCTCAAAGGCAGCATTTGACCCAGGAACCCTGGCCAGGGTCAAGCGCCTGGATTTTTGAGTCAAAACACTTCTCTGCCACTTGCCTGCTGTGTAAGCTCGGACAGGTCTCATTGCTCTACACACTTCACTCATCTGTTGAAAGCCCACGCATTTAGGGTGAAGATGGATGAGCTAATGGATGTGATGGAGCTTGGTAAACCCCCAGACAGTGGATTTCAAACTCCCTTTAGCCAGGGTCCTTGGTTCACACAGAATTTTACAGGGCTGCCCTGGCATCAAACTGAGGCACAAGGAGGTACTAAGCCAGGCCAGATCAAACTGACTTGGTCTTTGAGGGGACAATGAAGCATATTGCTCAAAACCGCTGCTGGAAAGGCACTATCTATGTACAGCCTCAGGTGACAACAGTGACTATCAACACATACGTGCTTTTCTGCCCTGAGTCAAGTCCAGAAAAACTTAAAGTCTGGTCAGACCTGTGGGGCTGGGGCTGGAGCCTCGAGATGCCCTGGCCAGCACCTTTTTGCACCCAAAACCTCCTTAACCACCTCTCCTCACCCTGTCCACAGGCAGCCTCCTGCCTGCCCTGGGCCCCTACAACAGGCTCCAATCTGGCCATGGTCAGGGTCACAGTCTATCTTTGGTAGGAGGCTCTGGGTGTCTGCCTAATGGCTCATTATAGCTTTTACGCTTCCTTATGACATTTTATCCCTTGCCCATAACCCTGGATACTTTAAGGAGGGACTTTTTATGCCTTATTCAAAAGGACTAGTTGTGGGAGATTTTCTGCATGATGAGAAGGATGGCAATACTCTCCCCATCTTTGTTGAATGGCAACCCCACAATGATAGAGTCTGTGTTCCATGCCCCATTCTGCTTAAATTAAGACCCCTTTGACATCACTGCTCTCCCTGCTCTACTCCAGCATGAGCTGCAAGTAAAACTTTAATAAATAAAATTTAATTATTGTCCCTCCACCAGCATCCCCACCTTCACCACAACTCTACCCTGGCAGAATGTGAGCCAGACAGACAGAAAGCTCAGAGAAAGATCAGCTGAGTAGTTTAGGTAGGAGCCTGGCATTAGTCTGAGAGGTGATGCTGTCATCTCCAGAGCAGAGCAGCGGAGAGGCGCTTTGAGAGGATGGGCAGCTGGGGCAGGGCTGCGGCAAGCGGTCACTCTTCACCTCCCCTCAAACTAGATCTTCCAACTCTGGACACAGTGTCCCAAGCTCCCCCAAACAGCCTCATTAACTGGGTTCAAATCTAAACCCGAAAGGATATTTTGAGATCAGAGTGTTTTGGGTAACTCTACCACTACTTGGGATTCTCCATGCTGCAGCTCTCCTTTGTAGACTATAAAGTCAAGGGCTCGTCAGAGCAGATGCTCAGCAGGCTGCAGGCTGTCCAGTGTCCCCTTTTGGCTAATACATACTGTTTATGATGCTACCCTCTTTTACCTCTGTCAGTGAAAGGAGCTCTTGAATGGCAGCTATCAAATTAGAGAGTGTGTAAATATGTTGGCAAATGGAAAACGCATGTAGCATTCCCCAGATGTATTATTTAGGCTGGTCTTGCAAAAGGCTCTATAAGTAAAGGTCAAAGAAGTGTGGGAGGTGGTGTATGCCTTGTTCTCTTTCTTGGAAATTCATAACACACATCAACTAAATATTTAAAGGTTCTAGAAAGTCTTGCAATCAAGCCCTTCAGCTTTGTCAGACTTATTCCCTAAACTTTGTGGACCACAAAACACTCACCTATTAATATCCCATGGAACTAGTCTGCTGCAGAAGCTACTTTTGGTCTAGATCGCACCTGGCTCTATGGGAAGGGCCCCGGGCCAGGCCTCAGGTAGCCCACTCCCCATCACGACCCTCTGGAGAGCTTCCAGGTGATGGGGGAGGCTAGAGTGATGCCTCCCAGGAGTACGGCCTTCATGGGCCAGCAGGTTGCTTTGCCCCTCGGCTGGACTCAGGCCAATGTGCTGATCTTCAGGGATCCCTGAGGAGTGGTTAATGGGACACATGGCCAGGCTGGAGCCTGAGGGGGTGAACAGGAGTCCTAGTTGCTGGGTGAGTTGGTATCCCCTTGGAGCCTTTCCTGGCCTCCTCTAGAACACAGCCCCCAAGCTCGCAAGGTTCCCCTACTTCTTGTGACCAGGAGTTGAAATGCTGCTCTCCAAAACAGAATTCTCACAGCCAAAAAAGTTCTAGTTGTATTTCTTACCTTAACTAAGAGGTAACATTGGGGAGCAGGTACATAATGGGCCCCCACACCAAATTCCAAAGAGAAAAAAATGGAAATGTTTGGAAACATGACAGCATGGTCAAAAATGCATGAAATTAGTTATGCAAGTTATTAAACAATTTAGACAAATTGTTGAGTAACAATTTGTTAAACAAATTTGTTTGGATTATTTGGTAAGTACAGAAATCATACAGATTTCTCATCCAAATTTTTTTTTTAATTCCATAAGAAATAATTGCAGGCACTTTGGAAGAGCTTAGAACATTCTTCCCTTCCAACTTCAGCTGTTTAGTCCTGCTGATCCTCTGGATCTCAGGTTATAGCCTCCCCAGGGAAGTCTCTCCCTGACCAGAAACAGTCCCTACATTTTAGGCTCTCAAGATACCAAGTACAGCTCCATTTAAGACACCTGACCAAACTGCCATTTCAGAGCTGTGTGCATGGTACTGGTTGACATCTCTCTCTTCCTTAAACTGTGAAGTTCCACGTGGGCAGGGCCTCTGTTCATTTTAGGTCATCATCATAGCACTTAGCGCCTAGCGCAGTGATTGTCACACAACAGATGCTCAACTGGAATTTGTCAATGAATGAATGAATGAATAACTCAGTCATGCCCTGTTGTAGAGATACCTGCCATTACCACATCCCCATCATGTGGCCTCCCTCCAAAGCAGGAATCCACCCTCCAGCCATGAAAACTGGGAGTCTTTAGCCTTTACAGGATCCCTAGATGGCAGCTGCACCCATCTAGCTTCCACTGCCAGCAGGGAAGCCAGCACAGGGACAGGAAACCAGCTCACTACCTATCATGTGTTCTGGCTTAGCTGGAACCTGGTGTGATGGGGAAAGTGGCTCCCTAGTCTGCCAGTTCCCACCCCTCCTCCCCTCTCAGGGGTCTCAACGGGCTCAGCCTGCCTTCCCCCTGGCCCTTACTTCTGCCAGGGCCTCAGCCTCCAGGGACTTGTGGTCCCCCAGGCTGCTGTGCCTGGTGGAGCCACATGTCGACCTCATGGAGAGCCCTTCGGAGAGCGCCTTCTTGTCGGGGTAGTTGATGCTGCCAGCGCTCCCAAACGTCGCCATCCTCCGCTTCTCAGGGCTCTCGATCCTCCCCCGGGTGAGGGGGATTTTGTGGGGGCTGCTGGGGCAGGCGGCAGCCCGGGGCGGCGTGTCTATGCTGGGGCCCAGGCCCCGGGGTGGGCTGTGTGTGTCGCCCCCGCTTCGGCGCCTGGGGATGGCTGCTCCATCGGATCGTAACCGCACTCTGCAAAGGAGCCAGGGGGTGGGAGGATGGGGCAGAGGTCAACCCTGGCAAGTCTCAGAAAGCCAACCCCCAGGCCGCGCACTACACACTAGTCTAGGGAGCAGGTATAGTAAAGCCTCATTCAACCAGACTCTGCAGTTCTGCAGTGAAAGCACTGGCTGAGCACGTAACTCAGCAGCAGGGGCAGGTTTCATCCATACACACCATGGAACCAAGAGCATTCTGCTCCTAAGCTGCAGATGGTGTTGGTGCCAGTTATCGTTACCCAGTGCATCTCATCTGCATGTTAAGTCAAGGTCAGGAGGATTGCAACCTGGGAACACTTTGGTGACGGATAGTTGAGCTCGTAAGTTCTTAAGCAGTTCAGACATTCCTGGCATTCGAGGGCTTTTAATTGGTCTGAAGCATCGAGGCTTGACTGTACCAAAAAGTTACCAGCTCCCTGAAAGCACAGGAGGGGGCCCCTGGGAACTGAGCACTGGCCAATGTTGTCACCTTACACCTTACCCCCAATCTCCCCAGCAAAGGGTTATTTCTAGGAGGCTTTTCCACATCTTGGAAAACTAGCCATTCAGGAGTAAAAACTGCATCACTGGATACTCCTTCTAAGCATGTGGACACCTTCACCTTTTAAGGAGGCTCTGGCAGGATGAGAAATGGACTAGAGTGTCTGTCAGGAGGGTGAATCCTTCTGCCATCTTTGTCACAGACGTTCCTGGCTCCTCTTTGGGGCTTGCTTTATTAATCTGTTAAATGGGCACAATATTCCTTGCCCACTTTCACGGGAGGTTCAGTGGGTGTGAAAGCACTTTGAAGATAAAAGGGATTTTGCTACACCCTATGGAGGTCACTGAAGACTCCAAGGCCCTGGAGAGGGGAGCGAAGGCTGGAAGTGGGGAGGGGGTGGGGAAGAGGGACGGACGGCTGCAACGGCTTGTGACCAGGGGACCAAGGTCAGTGCGGTCAGCAGTATTTTAGGTCTAGTGCTACCAGCAAAGCTAAGCATCACCTGTGGGCACCCCAATGGGACCAAAGCATAGGTGCTGGGAGGAAGAGGTACTGCAGAAGAGCGAGAAGAAAGTGGTGGAGGGAGGGAATGCGGGGGGAGCCAGACAGAAGATGCGGCCCTCCTGGAAGTCAAAGGACTGCTACTTTGTCAGCTACCCCTGCCTTCCACATTTCCCCTAAATTCTTTCATCTGCATAGTGCTTGGGCTGTTTGCTGAGCTGAACAGAATATGCTGAAAAAAGGCACAGGAAGTGCTGCTGAAATACGTTCACAAATGTTATGTTCCCCTCCTGACTGATTCCTCTGGCTCCAGCTGCAAGGCCCTGTGTGTCAGGGTTGACCCCATGACCTCTGCACCGAAAAACAGAGAGTATATTTTTAAGAATCTGATTAAGAAAGCAATGAAAAGCTGTCTGCTTTTCTTTTCTTCTCTTTTCCTTATTTTATGTTTTTAACAACCACAGTCTTTGGAATTCACCTGCATGCTGAGCACAGCTCCTTGCCTGGCAGAAAGGTCATGTGACACAGCCCAGCTCACACACTTGGAGTGAAGAAATTGGCAAATATGCTTTGGCCAAGTACGTGTTGGGAGTCAAATGTCAGTTTGTCCCTTGCCTGAGTGGGTATGAGTTTTCTGTTTATGTGGTACACTTCAGGGAGTATGTGAGCTTTAAATTTTTAAAATCTTCAACGGAAAGCAGGGGGGAGGTACAAGAACTGGAGAGAGGTAGGGAAACAACTTGCCAATTTTTAACTCCCTCTCCCTTATTTATTACTGTTTTAAATAAAAAGCATTGCTGTACCAATGGATGTCTTCCCTCCTCCTCGTCCACACTCAGACCCCAGGCTAGATCATTTTAAACCTGGCACTCTTGGGCCAGTTCTGGCCAGCCCATCCAGGTGTGCCCCCCATCACCTCTTGTAGGAAAAGTGGCCACAACAGCCTCCCCACTCCTCCCTCCTGCCCCTCCCACTTCCCCCAAATCAGACAGGATCAGACACAGCAGGAGCAGGAGAAGATGAATCCGCATTTCCTACCGTCCCATCACCCCCCCAAAGCCGTAATCCGAGATGTGCTCCGTGGGGGATTGGAGGTCATTTTTGGAGGAGGCCTTGTCATCCAGCAGAGGCCCACTGCTGGCTTCGCTGTCAGCCTTTTGACTCAGGCTGTCCGAGAAGGCATCATCCCTGGGGAGAAGGACAGATTTGAATCCAGGGTGCTTGGCTCCAGAGAACCCAGATGCACAGGGCTCCACGAAACCTGTCTTAAGGTGCTGATCAACACATGTTACAGTTAATTTATGCCACAGCTCGCGATGAGCCACTTCCCACTCTGGCCCTCACCACCACACATGCCCACTGCCACCCTCCTAAGTCATTTTCTCCAGCAGGAGAGCATCGTCTGTGCCAGTGCCCCATGCCTACCTCTCCTTTCCCCTCCTCTCGGCTCTTCTCTCCCCAGCTGCTCTGGGCTAGGACAAGCTAAATGCTGGAGGGGTGTTGCAGTAATGGGGCAAGGAGCCTTCCAGCTGAGCACTGAGTGCCGAGTCTCCTTGTGGCTCCGTGAGAAGTGGTTTAGGGCTAAGCAATGGAGGGAGAGGGCACCTTCATGCCCCTCCCCCCACCCACGGTGCTGGACAGCTGTGGGGTGGCTCAAGCTTGCTAGGGTGCCTTGCTGTCTCCTCTCCCTACGAGTGACCTGTCCCTACCTGCAGAGCCCTAGGGATATCAGAGGCCTGCTCAGAGTCCTCCACTGGCCTTCCTCTTATTGTTTGTCTAGTCCTGGACTCTCTTTGGCTTCATATTGTCCATTCTGCCATCAAAACTTAGGTCTTTGGCCCCCTACCCTTGAGGTCCAGCTTGATGGCTGCTTCCTGGATTAATTAGTTCCATCTGAAACCTGACTGAAGCTTGGTAGGAGTGTGTGGGCAGGAACAGTCAGTGGCATTCAAAGAATGTAAGGTATAGACTTTCTGGGCCATTGGTAGAATGAAGTATTTGGGATGGAGGGTTTTTTTTTTTTTTTAGGCCTGAAATTATTTTTTTAAAAAATCGTAGCCTATTAACTGGAAATGAGGGATGACTGTTTTTGCCCATCCCCTGAAAAAAATCATCTTGGATATGAGAATGGTGTGCAGGTAAGGGGGCGGTGGGTTGCCACTGGCTACAGGGAAGGCCCAGGAGGGTAGCAGTATATGGCAAGATCCACTGGGTGCTAAGATCCACAGTGGGTGATGAGAGCCCTGGGGGCTGTCAGGTGTATCAGGACGGCAGGCCAAAGGCCCCAAATGCTGTCTCTGTACTCTGAAAGGTGAGCAATTTGCCTATCTGTTAAGTGGATCACCAGTTAAGGGGAATTAAGATACAATCCATTCTTACAGAAGACTAAATATCAGGCAAATCACTGGCATACAACTGAGTGCTCCCATTCCTGTGCCCATTCCAGACATCACTAATCGATTATGGCATTCGCATTCTTCACAGAAGGTCCTACTCCCACTCACATGTCCTGTACGACAATGTACTGATGTGGGATGAGTCCGTCTACGCCGTTGTGACGGCCTTCCCACCAGTCCTCTGAGGCGCGGTGGTACAGTAGCAGGGAGGCCCCCTTCTTGAAGGACAGCTCACGTGGGGACCGCCCCACATAGTCAAACTTGGCGATGGCCTCAATCTGCTCCACTTCTAGAAGGAAAGCAAGGGAAACAGCATCCATGAGGTCAGCGGAAAGGCAGCCCAGGAACCTTACTCAGATGGCCCTGGTTTCTATGTGGCAGCAGAGTTAGCAAGCCTGGTGAAAACAGCATGGGGTGGGGCTTAGGATGCCGGATTTTAGGCCTAGATCCACTCCCCATGTGTGATCTCAGGCAAGACCACCTGAAAATGGAAAAGTGGGGGCTGACATACTCTATCCTTATTTCCCACTGCCCCTCTTGCACATACTAAAACAATACTATAGGAAATTTCTTTTTCCTCTGTCACTTAATACAAGTTCTGTTCCTATTTTTCCATAAACCCTTTTCCTCTTTGTCCAGTTGCAACGTGATTCTTACCTTTTGAGCAGTCAAACCGATGGTGTATGTATGTGGACTCCCAAATGTAAAAAATGTTGTACACAATTTTTAAGGTTCCTAGAACTCTTCAGAGCTCACTGTTACGGACTGAACAGCATTCCTCCAGTATCTGTATGTTGAAGCCCTAATTCTCAATGTGCTGGTATGTAGATACAGTGTTTAGGAAGTAACTGATATTAAATGATGTCATAACGGTGGGGCCTAATCCGATAGGACTGGTGTCCGATAGGAAAGAGATCCATCTCTCTCTTTCTCTCTTGTTCTACCCCAGCACAGGGGAAAGGCCATGTGAAGACACAGTGAGAAGGCAGCTGTCTACAAGCAGGAAAAGAGGCTTCACTAGAAACCAATCGTGACAGCACCTTGGTCTTGGACTTCTAGCCTACAGACTGTGAAGAAATAAATTTCTGTTGCTTAAGCCACCCAGTCCATGTTATTCTGTTAGAGGAGCCTGAGCTGAAGCATCTCTCTCTGCACATCCACACCTACCCATCAAACCTGTATGCTTCTCTGGTCAGTACAAGCCCTAACTGAGTTAAATAATGAAGATATGGCTCTTGCCCTTGAGGCATCATTCCTACTGCCCGGCTCTGTCACCCCTTGTCGATGTGACCTTAGGCAGTTTACATAACCTCTGTATATCTCAGCCGCCTTTAGGAGGATTAGAAGGACAAAATAGATGGCCAACAGGTATACAAAAAGGTGCTCCACATCACTACTCATCAGGGAAATGCAAATCAAAACCACAATGGATATCACCACCCACCAGCAGAATGACCACCATCCAAAGTCAAGAAATGACAAGTGTTGGCAAGTATGTGAAGAAAAGGGAACCCTCATCACTGTTGATGGGGAGGTAAACTGGTGCAGCCACTTGTAGAACTACCATATGACCCATTAATTCTACTTCTGGGTGCTTACCTGAAAAAAACAAAAACGCTAATTTGAAAAGGTATGTGCAACCCTGTGTTAATTGAGGAATTATTTACAATAGCCAAGATATGGAAACAACCTAAGTGTCCATCAACAGACGAATGGATAAAATGTGGTACATACACACAATGAAATATTGCTCTGCCATAAAAAGAACGAAATCTTGCCATTTGTCACATGTGTGGACCTACAGGATATTATCCTAAGTAAATAAGTTAAACAGAGAAAGAAAAATAGAACATCATTTCACTTATATGTAGAATCTAACAAACAAAACAAATGAATAAACAAAAAAGCCCCCAAAACAAACAAATGAGAACACCCAGAAACATAAATGTAGAGAACAAATTGGTGGCTGCCAGAGGAGAGAGGGCTGGGAAACTGGGCAAAATAGGTGAAGGGGATCTAGAGGTATAAATTTCTAGTTATAAAATAAATAAGTCATGGGGATGAAAAGTACAGTATAGGGAATATAGTCAATAATATTGTAATAAATTTATATGGTGACAGATGGCAATTACATTTAACATGGTAAGCATTTCATAATGTATATAAATGTCAAAGCACTATGTTATATACCCAAAACTAACATAATATTGTTTTAGTTATACTTTCCACAAATTTTTTAAAAAAAACTAAAAACAAAAACTGAATTCATAGATACAGAGCACAGATTGGTGACTGCCAGAGGTGGTGGAGGGGGGGTGGTCAAAAGGCATAAACTTACAGTTATAAAACAAACAAGTCCTAGGATATAATGTACAGCATGATGACTATAGTAAATAATACTGTACTGCATATCTGAAAGTTGTTAAGAGAGTAAAAGTAAAAAGTTCTCATTATAAGAAAAAAAATTGTAACTATGTGTGGTAAAGTGGTAACTAGACTTATTGTGGTGATCACTTCACAACACGTACATATACTGAATCATGTTGTATTCCTGAAACTAATATAAGTTTATATGTCAATTATATCTCACTAAAAGAAATACACTAGACTTTAATAGATGAAAAAAAAATGGTAACACATGGACGTGCTCAGCATGATACAGATATACAATAGGTACTCGGCTGATAATGGCTCTCATAACTGATTAAAATTACTAATGGCTTCAGCCCATGGGATAGGTCCAACAGTAAACCTAAGTGGCAGAGTTTAAGAAGTTTCCCAAGACCATACAGCTAGATTTGGGAAGGAGAGCTTTTTGGGTACCAGGGTGTTATACCTACAATTCATTTAACCTGTGCTACAGTTGGTATGCTCAGAGGTGCCCAAGCTTGATAGGAAACTGAAGTATTAATGCATTCATATTTTAAAGCAAGCACAAAGATGTTTAACACTGTAAAAGTAATATGTACATATATATATACATTAAATTCTAACATAATGAAAGCCTAACAGAAGTGAGCCCTGCTCTCTCTAGCCTGCAGATACCTTCCCTATGCTGAGTGTCCATGGGACTTTCTGTCTGCTCTGTTCCTTGTGGATTACCCTCTATATGTCTATCCAGCCATCGACCTATCCATCACAGAAGTAAGCGTGGAACACCTGGCTATGCCGCTTTTTATTTTTTGTGAAACATTGAACAACTTAGTTCTACTTTCTAAGCCTCAGTTTACTCACCTGTAAAATAGGAATGATAATAATAGTATCAATAGAATGATAATAATAATGGGTTGTTATGAGGATTCAATGAGTTACTATATATGAAGTGCTTACAAGAGTGCCTGGTACATACTTAGTTCTATATGAGAGTTTGATGCTGTTACCAGCGTTAATGAACTCCTTAAGGCCTTGGACAAACTGTGCAATCCATGGGATGATGGAAAATCAAAGAACAGAGGGAGGAACCTCCTTTGTTCATCTCCCCATTAATCCCCGTCACACACACCATATTCAGGCCCCCTTCTATAAGCAGCTGTCTCAGGAAGCCTGTGTCAGTGCCCGGAGAGATGCAGGGGCCTTCGGCTGTGTCTAGTCCTCAGTGCCTGGGACAGCCTTTTGCAGCGAGCAGGCCTCAGGCAGTTAAGTTAGCTTTCCCCACCTGGCTCCCTGACAAATGTCTTTAAATGCTATTCTGACACAGTTGATGCTATGACAACACAGCTAAATGGGTCAGATTGATGCAGATCTTGGCTCAGAGTCATCTTCTCAGTAAAGTGTGGAGATCTCTATCCTCTCTGCTGCATCTTTGAATTTCACACTAACCATGTGCCAACACTGCCTGGGATCTGTCTGCTGGCCTAGCTACAGAGACAGACAGGCCAGAGGGTTTGAAAGACCAGGAGCTGAACCCAAGGTACATGCTCCTGAGGTTTCACCCAAGGGGCTTCTTTTGAGCCTGATTCCTCACACTGAAAAAGGAGCTGACCTGGGCAGAGGTCTACTTGTGCTAGGAGGAGTGTGGAGGGGCTGCCCTAGCTTTCTAGTTCGTCTTTCCTGTCTCCAGAGCCCCCAGCAGTCACTGGTGGTGGTCTTGAGTCGAGGAGGAGGGTATGAGGCAGGGTAGAAATGTAAGAAGTAGAGAAGAAGAAACTAGGAGAGCAGGGCTGAGCTGCAATCTGCGAGGGGAAGTGTGTTCGCAGATGTCATTATGTAAGAGTGCATGGCAGAAACAGTAGTAATAGCCACCATTTATTAGGAAGTGTATTATTTGGGTATATCATAGCTAAAATAGAATATGTGATTCTCCCCCTTACCACCTCTCCCACACACCCTTCCCCCGACTTACTTAATTCCCTCATCTTCCCCATCTTAGGAAATAGAACCACTGTTCGCCCACTCACTCAGGCCAAAGCCTAGCTCTTCAGCATTGCACTTCTACTCCATCAGCAACTCCTTTGGACCAGTCTCAGCACCTCCATGGCCACCGCCCTGGTCCAGACTACCACTGTCCCTCCACCTGGCCTCCTTGCTTTCATTTTTGCTAGGTAGAGCCATTTCTCCCTATAGCAGCCAGAGGGATCTTTCAAAACCATAAATCAGATCATGAAACTCTCTTGTTCAAATCCCTCCAAAGGCTTCCCTCTGTGCTTAGAACAAGACCCAGATGTCTTCTCCTGGCTGCAGAGGTCCTCTGTGCTCTGGGGCCCAGAGACCTCTGCGACCTCATTTACCACTTTCTCTCTCACTCAGTCTGCTCTGGCTTCACTAACCTTGATGTTTCTCCTCCAACATTGTGTTATGACATTTTTCAAACACAAAGTGAAGTTGAAAGAATTTTACAGTGAACAATGGACAGGCATGTATTCACCACCTACATTCTACCATTAACATTTTACTCTTCTAGCATTACCACATAGCTATTCATCTTTCCTTCTATCCATGCACTTTATTCTTCAATGAATTTTAAAGTAAGTTGCAGACATTAATACACTTTATCCCCAAACACTACTGCATAAATATTCAGAGACCTCTTGATGCTTTTAAAACATGCCAAGCTTTTTTCTGCCACAAAGACTTTGCACTTGATACTGCCTCTCCCTGAGATAATTTTCCCAGACATTTGCATTCACATTCCACCAATATTTATTAAACACTGAGTGCCATTTCCTAACTTCATTCAGGTCTGTACTTAGGGGTCATTGCCTCAGCAAGGCCCTTCCTGACCACCCTCAACTACAAAGCATCATCTGTCAAATCAGTCTATCACCTTCTTTTGCTTAATTCTTCTTTATA